CAGGAGGCCCACAAAGAGCAGGTAACCTGTGGGAGAGCACAGAAATTAGGGGCTCTGTGAGGATGAGGAGGAAGCTGACATCACCAGCAGGGGCAGGGAGGCTCAGCTTTGCTGCACAGCTCCGCTAGGAGATGTTCACCTGGTGAACAGGTGAGTCTCAGAGCTCCCACCTACCTAACAGGTACTGCCAGTAGGACTTGCAGATCTCCTTCAGGTTCTTGAAGATCAGCTGAAGCAGGTACAGGGAGAAGGAATAACCTCCAACCAGCAGGAAGTACACAGGGCTTTTCTAGGGGAGCACAGAGAGGTTGCAGGCAGGCTGTGGATACCTCCCCCAGGTGCTGAGGTGCTCTGTACCAAACCCAGTCCATCCAGGAAAGGGCTACGAGGTCTCTGACCCCCTCAAAATGTGACACCTACCTTGGGCATGACCTTGGACACCATGTAGACGAGGACAAGCAGCGAGGCCAACAAGCCAACACTGATCCCAGCTGAGTAGTAGAAGATTTGGCTCCTGCAATGATCACACAGGGAATCAATCACAGCAGGTGTTTTATGGGTACCTGTGCACAAACACCCCCAACACAGGAGCCCCCAGGGAAAGGACAGGGCTCACCTGCTCAGTGTGTCCCCACAGAAAAACAACAGCAAGCCCAAGAAGAAAACAAGGAACAGCTTAGGATCAAAACCTGGAAAAAAGAATAAATCCCAGTGGAGAGGGGCACGGCGGGAAGCTCCCACTTGCCACAGGGTGACAGGACAGGGATGGGACTTCCAAGTGCCCCAAATTCCTTCTGCACACCAAATTCCCTTCCTGAGGAAGGAACAGCTCCTTGGATCACGAGCTGCCCCGTCCTGCTGTCCCCTGGGCAGCCCCAGGCCCCCTTTCCCCAGCGGGGAGGGGACGTACGTCGGAAGAGGACCACGGAGTAGGTGGTGCCAGGCTCCAGCAGCTCGACCTTGAGGCAGGTTTTGTTGCTGTAGAGATCCACATCGATGCTGGTGTCGTTGAGCTTGCCCCTCAGGAAGGAGAACAGCACGTTCCACACGCTGAACTTCTCCAGCTCCTCCTCGCTGTCCACCTGGGTGACGCGGATCATGCGGCTGCTGGTGACGCGGATCTGCGGGGACAGAGGGGAGCGGGGGGTTGAGAAACAGAAAAGAGACTGGGCTCCTGCCCCAGGAGCTGGTTCTGCCCCAGAGATTTGTGTTCCTGAAGCTGGTCCAGCCTCAGAACCTGGTTCTGCCCCAGGGTTCCTGCCCCAGGAGCTGGTTCTGCCCCAGAGATTTGTGTTCCTGAAGCTGGTCCAGCCTCAGAACCTGGTTCTGTCCTGGGAGCTTGGTCTGTCCCAGGAATTCCTGTCTTAGGAGCTGGTTCTGCCCCAGGAATTTCTGTTTCTGAAGCTGGTCCAGCCTCAGGAGCAGATTCTGCCCCAGAGATTTGTGTTCCTGAAGCTGGACCAGCCTCAGAACCTGGTTGTCCTGGGAGCTTGGTCTACCCCAGGAATTCCTGTCTTAGGAGCTGGTTCTGCCCCAGGAATTTCTGTTTCTGAAGCTGGTCCAGCCTCAGAACCTGGTTCTGTCCTGGGAGCTTGGTCTGTCCCAGGAATTCCTGTCTTAAGAGCTGGTTCTGCCTCAGGGATTTATGTACCAGGAGCTGGTCCAGCTTCAGGAGCAGGTTCTGCCCCAGGAATTTGTGTGCCAGGAGCTGGTTCTGCCCCAGGGATTCATGTTCCTGAAGCTGATCCTGCCCCAGGAGCAGGTTCTGTCCTGGAAGCTTGGTTTGTCCCAGGAATTCCTGTCTTAGGAGCTGGTTCTGCCCCAGGGATTTCTGTTCCTGAAGCTGGTCCAGCCTCAGGAGCAGGTTCTGCCCCAGAGATTTGTGTACCAGGAGCTGGTTTTGCCCCAGGGATTTGTGTTCCTGAAGCTGGTCCAGCCTCAGAACCTGGTTCTGTCCTGGAAGCTTGGTTTGTCCCAGGAATTCCTGTCTTAGGAGCTGGCTCTGCCCCAGAGATTTGTGTCCCAGGAGCTGGTTTTGCCCCAGGGATTCGTGTTCCTGAAGCTGGTCCAGCCTCAGAACCTGGTTCTGTCCTGGAAGCTTGGTCTGTCCCAGGAATTCCTGTCTTAGGAGCTGGTTCTGCCCCAGGGATTTGTGTTCCTGAAGCTGGTCCAGCCTCAGAACCTGGTTCTGCCCCAGGGTTCCTGCCCCAGGAGCTGGTTCTGCCCCAGAGATTTGTGTTCCTGAAGCTGGTCCTGCCCCAGGAGCAGGTTCTGTCCTGGAAGCTTGGTTTGTCCCAGGAATTCCTGTCTTAGGAGCTGGCTCTGCCCCAGAGATTTGTGTGCCAGGACCTGATTCTGCCCCAGAGATTTGTGTGCCAGGAGCTGGTTCTGCCCCAGACATTTGTGTTCAGAGGTGCCCTCATCACTCTCCACACTCCCTGAAAGGTGCCTGTGCTCAGCTGGGGCTGGGCTGTCTCTCCAGGCAGCACTGACAGAACCACAGCACACAGCCTCGAGCTGCACCAAGGGAAATACAGGCTGGATATTGGGGAAAAGTTTTTTCACAGAAGGATGGATGGATGATGGATGGATGGATGATGGATGGATGGATGATGGATGGAGGGATGGACGGATGGATAGACGGAGGGATGGACGGAGGGATGATGGATGGATGGACGGATGGATGGAGGGGCTGGAGCAGGGAGGATCTGCCTCCTCCTCCTCCTCCTGCTCTCACCTGTGTCCTGGTCCAGACGTCGTTCCACCGCGGGGGGCGCGTGTTGCTGTAGCAGAAGCGCTGCGATTCCCGGTACCGGGAGTCGTGCCCGTCCAGCAGCGGGATCACGGCATCCTTGGAGCCTGGGAAGCACACCGGGAAGCACACCGGGAAGCACACCGGGAAGCACACCGGGAAGGCTCCGTGCCCCGCCGCCCTCTGCTTCGCCCACCCGGCCCTTTCCCCCCACATCCCCCACGGTTTTTGCGCTGTTTTCCTTGGAATTCGCCCTCCGGTTCTTTTCTGGGATAACCCCATCCGGTCCCGTTGTTCCGCCATGCTGCCCCGGGGGCTGCCGCCGCCCCGCTGCCCCCACCCGCCGGTCTCCGCTCGTGGACGCCGCTGCCGCGCTCACCTGCAGCTTCCAGGGGCAGGAAGGGCAGGAACAGCAAGAGCAGCACGGGCAATGCCGGGAGGCGCCGCCGCCGCCCCGGAGCCGGTTTCATCCCTCCCGCCGCGGCTGCGCCGGCCGCTTCCGCTTCCGCCGCCTGCCCGGTCCGGCCACCGAGGCCATCCACAGCCAATAGAAAAGCCGCTCGCCGGGCTTTGTCGTTGATTGACAGCTGATTTAACCTATAAAGATTCACGTCTGCTCTCTGCCAAGTTGATTGGCAGTAGTTTTAGCCTATCAGCTGTGCGCGTGCAGGAAGCAGCTATGTTCCCGCCCTCGTTACCACGGTGACCAACATGCCAGCCATTTACCTCGCAGCCACGCCCCACCCTGGTAACGGCTCTGACAGTCACGCCCCTCAACCAATCAAAACACAGGCACCACAAGCCACGCCCTCCACCTTCATGCCTACCCCATCTGATTGACAACCGCCTCCGCCTATCAGGGCGCGTCCTCGCGTTGTTTGTGTGAATGGGTCACGCGTGGGGGGCGCGCAGGTCCCGCCCCTCGCCCCCCCGGCCCCTCCCCCGGCAGCCGAACCGGCGGCCGCGGGTCCCACGGACCCCGCCTGCCCCGGTCCCACCGGCCCCGCCACCCCACGGCGCGGACGGGGCTCTGCCAGCGGCGGTCACCGCTGACCCGCGGCGCGGAGGGCGTCCCGCATCCCACGGAGCGGCCCGGCTCGGCTCGGCCCGGCGGCTCCGTGCCCCAGCCCCGGGAAGGGGGTGCCGCTCTCCCCGTGGATCCCCCCCCCCGGCGGCCGCCCGTGGGCGGGCAGCGGGGAGCGGGCTCGGGCGGCCCCCCCGCTCCCCCTCCGCGGGCCGTGGGCGGCGGAGCCGGGAAGCGGCGGGGCCGTGGGCGGAGGATGTGCGTCAGCCGGGGGCAGCGCCGGGGCTGGGAACGGCCCCGCCGAGGGGGGAGTTACAGGGGGGCGGTGGGGAAGGGGGTGAAGCGGGAGGGTCGGGGCAGGACCCCCGCCGTGGGCGCCGTGCCCGTGCGGGATGCCCCGGTTGCTCCGCCGGTAGCTCCGGGGATGTGCCCCGGACACCGGCACGGCTCCCCCCCGGCCAGGATCGCGCGGGGGCGGCTCTGGACCCACGCCAGGCGCCGGCCGCGGTATAAATAGCACCGAGCCACGCAGGGCCGGACCGGGGTGCGGGCCGTGACACCCCCCACCCCTCCGCTCCCTCCCGCTGCTGCGGGCTCGGGGCTTCAGCATCCCCCCAGCCCACCCGAGAAAGCTCCGTCCGCTCCCGTTGTCGCTGCTCCCCCCGGAGCCCACCGATGGCAGCGTGTGCGTGCCGGTGACACCGAGTGCCAGCCCTCGGTAAGGGCTCCGGCACCGGGGGGCACTGCCGGGACAGCGGTGCCGGTACCCGGAGCATCCCCGCGCCCGCTGGGGTTGTCACCGAAACCGGGGATGCTGCGAGCGCTGCCCGCGGGATTCACGGTGTCCACGCCAACACCGCGCCCCGCGTGTCCTGCCTCTCCCACGGACCCCCCCCCCCGGGCCCCCCCCCCCCGTGCCACGCGTGTCCTGCCCGGTCCCTGCCGGGGCTGCGGGACCCCCGGTGCCGCCGTGCGGGGCGCCGCTCCCCTCCCGCTGCTCCGGTGAGGATGGGGGGGTAGAAGGGGGCCCGGTGCTGCCGCCCCCGCCGCTGCCCGCCCCCCTCCCCGCGCTCGGCGGGGGCGGCAGCCGCGGGATCCGCCCCCGGGGCCTCCCACGCGCGGCGCAGCCGGGGCCACTGCTATTTCACGGTCCCGCCCGTGTGGGCGGCGCGCAGAGCGGCGCGGCGCGGCGGAGGGAGCGCGCCCGGCCCGGCCGCGGCAGCGGTCGGGGCGGGAGTCCCGAGGGACGGTGGCCATGGTGGGATTGGGGGGACCGTAGGGGGACAGGGCGGCGGGGGACACCGGGCAGGGCGGGGGGCTCGAGGGGTGTTGGCCACGGGGCTCCGGGTGGGTCCGGGGCGCCGGGATGCACGGGGAGAGGATGGGACCGGGGGCACCGCGGCACCGGGGGGTACCCGGGAGGGGTCGGGAGCTCGTGGGGGGATGGCAGCGGTGGGAGCACGGAGGGAGCGGGGGGGTGGGACAGCGGGGGTCACCGGGCAGAGCAGAGAGCCCGGGGAAGGGGTGACCCCGGTGGGTCTGGCAGGAATGGGGGTGGGATGGGGCACAGGGTGGGCTCGGGGCACTGCAGGGCACCGGGCAGGGGCGGGGACGCCGGGGGAGGATGGCCCTGGTGGGACCGGGGTGGGGATGGGGGCACCGAGCGGGGCGGGGTCACCAGGGAAGGATGGCCCTGGTGGGAGCTGGGGAACCACAGGAGAAGAGGGCACCGGCAGGGCAGGGGGGCATGGGGGATGTTGGCCATGGTGGGATTGGCACTGGCACATCACCCCGGCGATGGGGGGCTGGGGGAAGCCCCCAGATGTGTGTCCTGCCCCATGTGAGGACCTGGCATGGGGGGGCACAGGCTGGGGGGGTGGGGCACAGGCTGGGCACAGCCCGGGGTAGGGGCTGGGGTGAGGGTGACCCCACTCGTGTCTGTGCCATGTCGAGGGGCTGTGGCTGCAGGGTCCGTCCCAGTTTGGAGCACATGGGTGCCCCGTGGGGTTTAGGGACACTGGAACACCCATAAACAGGAATGCTCCCTCTGCCCTGTACCCCCAGGCCTAAGGGTGGGGAGGGGCTTTCTCCTTCATGTCCGTCCCTCCCGGTGGTGAGTCTGTCTGTCCTCTGTCCACCGCAGGCTCGCCATGGCCCTGCCCCGCACGCTGGGGGAGCTGCAGCTCTACCGGGTGCTGCAACGTGCCAACCTGCTGGGCTACTACGAGACCTTCATCCAGCAAGGGGGGGACGACGTGCAGCAGCTCTGCGAGGCGGGCGAGGAGGAGTTCCTGGAGATCATGGCGCTGGTGGGCATGGCCACCAAGCCCCTCCACGTCCGCCGCCTCCAGAAGGCCCTGCGCGAGTGGGCCTCCAACCCGGGGCTCTTCAGCCAGCCCGTCTCGGCTGTCCCGGTCAGCAGCATCCCACTCTTCAAGCTCTCTGAGGCCGGCGGGCGCAAGGCGCTCAGCAACGGGCACGCCAGCCCCGGCGAGGCAGCGGGCAAGGGGGGTGGCAGCGCCGGGACGCCACCAGCCCGCAGCCCCACGGAGCCAGGGGAGAAGCTGTCGCCGTCAGCGGCTCCACCGTGGCCGGGAAGGAGCACCCCCGAGTCGGAGGGTGGAGGGGATGAGGAGCCGGGGGGTCCCCCATTCTCCCCGGGCGGGAGCAGCGGGGAGCAGGCGGTGGGCACGGAGCTGGAGCCGGAGTTGGCACGGACGGTGGTGGAGAGCGTGGAGCGGCTGCTGCAGAGCTGCCCCCGGGGCGGCGAGGCCGAGCTGAGGGCGCTGATGAAGCTCAACAAGAAGCTGGCCAAGGCTGTGGGGCACATCTTCCAGCTGGAGGACGGTGACCGGCAGAAGGAGGAGGAGATCCGCCGGCACAGCGCGATCTACGGCCGCGGCGAGGCCCGGCGCCGCGAGGGCAAGCAGCTCACCCTGCACGAGGTGGGCTCCGTGCTTGGAGTTCCTGGCACGTGCTGGCTTGGGACAGGGACTGGGGTGGCTCTGGGGGTGTGGTGAGTGGGTGGGATTCGAGGTCTCCTCCCACTCGGGTGGCATCTGCCAGCCTGGAGCCGGCGCTGCCTTAGCTGAGGGTTGTGTGGGCGCTGCTGTCCCGTGGGTGCTGCCGTCCCTGTCCCCGCTCACGCATCATCTCTGCCCCCAGCTCATCATCAATGAGGCGGCCGCCCAGTTCTGCCTGCGGGACAACTCGCTGCTGCTGCGGCGCGTCGAGCTCTTCTCGCTGTCACGACAGGTGGCACGGGAGAGCACCTACCTGTCCTCGCTCAAGGTCGCCAGGTGAGCCCAGACCTGGGAAACCCCTCCCTTGTAGGCCTGGGGGGGGGCCTGGCTGTCACCCCCTTAGCCCCTGGGAGCTGCAGCATGATCCAGCACTTCTGGATGGGGCCAGGACCCTGCGGCCCCCAGTTCCCCTTTGCCAGCGTGGGTGGTTTCTGCCTGACCTCGGAGCGTGGGACGTGGGGAGGATGGGAATGACGGGGATGCCAGGCGTGGGAAGGGATGCCAGGCAGCAAAGGGATGCCGTTGGGGATGCCCTATCTCTTGCCTCCATCCCCAAAGTCCCCTGCCGACCGTGCCAGGGCTGCCTTTTCCTTTTGTTCCCCAGCTGCTTCCCTGTTGTTCTGCCCCCAATTCCATCCGTGCCAAAACCCCAGCTTCTGGCATTGCCCTGCCTGGTGGCTCTGCCCGCAGCGTGGGGCCTTGCTGTGGCCACCCCCACGCCTGACACAGCCCCTTTCCACCCCCAGGGCCCATCCCGAGGACAGCGGTGCCGTCGTGGCCAAGCGGCTCAAGGAGGAGGTGGGTGTGCAGGTGCAGGGGGGCAGCGTGTGCAGGTGTGCACACCTGTGAGCGTGGGTGTGACGGTGCAGCGTGCCCGGGGCTGCCCGTGCCAGCCTGGGGGGACGGCCGTGGGTGTTGTGGGGTGGGTGGTGCAGGGGACCTGCTCACCTGAGTGCTCCTGGCAGGCGGGAGAGCAGAGCCGCCCTGAGCTCCTGGCGCTGCCCGTGGGGCTGGAGCCCCCCGGGGCCGGGTACCGAGCCAGCTTGGAGGAGGACACGGGCAGCCTCTCCGGGGAGAGCCTCGACGGCCACTTGCAGGGTGAGTAGGGGTCCCTGTCCTTCTGGGGGGGCTGGTGGTGGCCGGTCCCCATCTCCACGCGCTGATTGTCGCCCCTCTCTCGGCAGCGGCGGGGGCCTGTCCCCGGCTGACCCCTCCGCCCGGTGCGGCCCCGGACGTGCCCCTCGGCCTGGCGCCCCACGGGCTCTGGAGCCGCCACATCCTCCAGCAGACGCTGATGGACGAGGGGCTGCGCCTGGCCCGGCTGGTGTCGCACGAGCGCGTGGGGCGGCTCAGCCCCTGCCTGCCGGGGAAGCCCCCGGGACCAGGTGAGCCCCCCTCGGGGCCGGGGGGGCTTTGCCGCGGGCAGGGGTCGGGACGGCACCGCTGCTTTCCTGCTGTAGAATCGTGTCCTGACGCCATCTCCGTGTTCTCCCCACAGAGTTCGAGGATGGGCTGGCGGAACGGGGTCCTCCGGCCCCCCCAGACCCCCCTCGGGGTACAATCAAGGTGGAGCAGGAGACCAGCAGGCAGTGAGGCGCCTGTAGCCCCCCCGCCACCATTAACGAAGCAATAACGTGCTGGGGGACGGGTGCGGCGGCGCTCCGGGCCCGGGGAGCTTGGGGAGGGGTGGGGGGGTCTCAACCACAGCCCCCCCCGGCCCCCTCCCGTCCCACACCGACGCTCTGGTTTACCTCAGCCGCGGCGGGATGCGACTCCCCGCAGCAGCAATACCCTCATCCCGCCCGGCTCCGCTCCCCCGCCGCCCCCCAGGGCTGGGGAGCCCTCGATGGACTGGAGCCCCCCCCCCACCCACCAAGTGCTGACCGTCCCCCC